GGAAAGAAAGAGGGAGAATAAATAAAATAAGAAGAATAAATAATTTCATTATTATACTATTAAATTATTAATAATTGTATTATTAATTTAATTACAATTATTAATTATTTTATTGTATTGATACTTATTATAATTAAGTAATATAATAAATCATTAGTAATATAACAATTTCCCTAACACATTGCATTCTACTGTAATGATAATGATGATGGCACATAAACATAATATAAAAAAAACTAAAGTGTATTTTGTTCTGTTGAAAACCTTTAATACAAAAGTTACAGAAAAATAAAGTACGGCTCTGTGTAAAAACAGTCATTGTTTTCAGCAGACAGACATCATAAACAGACAGTCTTAATAGTGAACATCACTGGTGATCAGCGGTACTTCATGCTGGTGCTGGGTTGACGCCGCAGCACTTCATCGCCTTTATCCATGTCTTTAGGTTCATCATAAACCGTGGAGATGTGGAAGTCTTTTCTGGGTTTTTTAAGTGGAAGGAATGAGCTGAGCTTTTCTCCATGATACCTGCAAATATTACAAAATCAAATGCATCAGTCATAACAAAGTCATAGAAATTGAGTAGAGATCATTCACCAAGCATTTAAAACACAGAAGGATATATTATAGATGTGGCTTAGAAGTAATTTAGAGTTCTCACAACTTTTGACCAATATTTTTCCTACAGTTTTCCAATAGGATTTTTTTAATTACTGTATAGAGATGAATCTAAAAAGAGCAATTTCTTGGCTATGAAATATTTTAGAGTTGAGCATGATGGAATAAAATGTATATTCACTATAGAATTATTAGTTTCCATTATTATTATGTTAAACTGTAATTTATTTCTGTGATGCGCAGCTGTATTTTCAGCATCATTACTGCAGTCTTCAGTGTCACATGATCTTCAGAAATAATTCTAATATGCTGATTTGCTTCTCAAGAAACATTTCTGATTATTATCAATGTTGAACACAGTTGTGCTGCCCGATATTTTTGTGGAAACTGAGATATTGAATCTAAAAAGAGCAATTTCTTGGCTATGAAATATTTTAGAGTTGAGCATGATGGAATAAAATGTATATTCACTATAGAATTATTAGCTTCCATTATTATTATGTTAAACTGTAATTTATTTCTGTGAGTCTAAGCTGTATTTTCAGCATCATTACTCCAGTCTTCAGTGTCACATGATCTTCAGAAATCATTCTAATATGCTGATTTGCTGCTCGAGAAACATTTCTGATTATTATCAATGTTGAAAACAGTTGAGTACATTTTTTTCAGGATTCTTTGATGAATAAAAAGTTAAAAAAAGAACAGGATTTATTAAAAATAGAAATATTTTGTAACAATATACACTAC